TGGCTCTAATCCATTCACCTGAACAGAATCTTATGGTTAAAAACTTTTTACAAAACAGGGTTTCAAACCTATTCTTGGGACCAAAACCCATAGATATTCATCCAACTGTGGCCTTCAAATTCCTCAAGAAATAATTTTTACATTCCAAAATTTTGTATGAAAGCTGCAAGGTTTGTTATTGCTCTGATGTGAATATCCTGTTATTGCCTTTCCAGATGTGGATATCATGATCTCTGTATTTAGCGACAAACGTCCTCTGTTTATGGCCAGAACCAAACATCCTCTAGCACTGGCATCAGATACTTGGTAATCCCCTGATCTCAGTTCAGACTAATATATGCCTTCCCTTCAGTGTGGATTTTACCTCATCTGCTCTGAGCAGTACAGCAAGAGAAGAAGCCAAGGATCCTCATCGCCTTATATTTGCTCAGAAGAACCTGGTAAACAGATTAATAGGAGAGAAGCATCAACCTCTTCCCAATTCCTTGGGACCCTAACTTGGACCTCTTGGTTTCCCTTTGTGCTTCACTTAGAATAGTCATGCAGGAGATCCGCTCTCCTTTGGAAAAGCCCCAATTTGCATTAATCTATGCAATACCCAGTTGCTGCCTGCCCAAAGTAAATTTACTGCAGGCGACTGGCACGGCAGGCTGGATGACATAAATATATGTCATCCAGATGAGGGCAGACAGTGTGCTGTTGCTCCCACGACAAACACAGAGGAATTGTGGCTCCCAAAACCCAGTCGCTTTGATTTAGCCGGGTGATTCCTATAGTGATGCTGTAAGTTGGGCCACAACTATCACATGGTACCGTTGGCCCAATCACATACCCTGTACCATGTGATAGCTGTGGGCCAATTTACAACAGTCAGGCAAGCACCGTTCTCCTGGCAACCATCAAACCCAGACAAGTCCATTGTCCATACAGAGAAGAGTGATATGGTCACGTTCCAGAAAACACATCTCCACGTGCCTAGAGTCCAGTGGCTGCATTCTTTACACCACTGCAATCCGATGCTTTGCATTGCACTTGGTGAAGTAAGGCTTGGATGCAGCTTTCCGGACAATAGAAACCCATTCCATGAAGCTCTTCACACTGTTGTACTAATCTGAATCTGTGCGAATCTGAAAGGCCACAACCAATTTTGGAGGTCTTTAGCTATTGACTCTTTAGATAGTTGGGGTGACTTCTGCGCTTCAGCATGGCCTGACCCCGCTTCTGTCCATGTGACGTGGCCTAATCACTTGGTGGCTGAGTTTGCTGTTTATTTCCCATTGCTTTCCACTTTGTTTTAATCCCACTAACAGTTGAGCGGGAATATTTATTAGTAGCAGGAAATGTCACGGATGGACTTATTGCACAAGGTGGCAACCTATCACGGGACCCACGCTTGGAGTCACTGAGCTTCCTGAGAGCGACCCATTCTTTCACAAAATTTTTTTTTTTATTTGTTTTTTTTTTTATTTGTTTTGTTTATATAGCAAAAAAGCAAAAAGAAAACAATGGTGTTCAAATATCACCAAAAAAAAGCTCTATTTGTGTGAAAATAAATGATTACATTTAATTTTGCGTACAATGTTGCATGATCACCAGCAATTGTCAGTTATAAAATAGCTCAGTGATGATAGCAAAAAAAATTGGCCTGATCATGAATGGGGTAAAACCTGCGCCTAGCGTGGGTTTCCTCCGGTACTCCCGTTTTTCCTTTCCACACTCCAAAGACATGTTGGGAGGTTAATTGGCTCCTGTCTAAATTGTCCCTAGTATGTGTATGTATGAATGTAAGTTAGGGACCTTAGATTGTTACGCCCCCTTGAGGTGTTAAGGGACCTTAGATTGTACGCCCCTTGAGGGGTTAGGGACCTTTTATAAAATTTCACGCCATCCTTGTAGGGGATAGGGACCTTAGATTGTACGCCCCTTGAGGGTGAGGGACCATAGTATTTGATACGCCCCTTGAGGGTTAGGACCTTAGATTGTAACGCCCCTAATGAAGGGATTAGGGACTGATAAGTGAATGTAACAATATATATGTAAAGCGCTGCGTAAATTGACGGCGCTAATATAAGTACCTGAAATAAATAAATATAAATAAATAAAACCTTCCAGAAGTCAGTTAACCAGGCTATATCCTGTCCACCATTGAAGCTTGCTATTTGAAAATATGGGATACAATGCATACATTTTTCGTGATAGAACCATTTTATTCCAATTGGGAATGTGAAAAAAGTTAACATGTATAATAAATGCCCTCATATTTGTTTATTTTATGATTCCCTTTGTTCTGTTTAAATATACAAATAAAATTTATTTTTTATTATAGCTGTTCAAAAAATAAAAAAAAAGAACAGCTTGTTTATTTTCCTTTAACGTTCAGGCTTCATGTAGCCATGACTAAATACATTTGTGACACTAATTAAGAAACCAACTGTGACAGCTAATGGTCCCAATGGAAGGCTTTGTTGCAGTTGCTAGCAAAAGTGCCAATCTTAATTCAAAGCAAAGCTATCACCTATAAAAGCTTTGCTGGATTGGAATTACAGTCTTCTGATATAATTATTTAGAATTTCAAAGAGAAAAGGTCATGTAGTGGGAATCACATTTAAAGTATCCACAGAAGGTAATATGTCTTCTTGTTTCCTTAATAATTATCCAGATTGAAATTGGAGATGTTATTGCCTACTTAGTGTGCTTCAAGAAATAAAGTCTATCCATGGGTTCTATCCCTATGGAGAACATATCGATAACCTACAACCAATTTTGTCCTTTTAGGGCTTGTCGAAATGGAACCATTTAGATACGTATACGCTCTGCTTGCGTTTGCAGTATATTCAACTTCATTATTTGTGAGTTTATTAATGATTGTCTATGTAACCTGGACAGAGGAGAACTTGCATGAACCCATGTACATCTTTATATGTGGGATTGGTCCTTCATGTGATTGTTTGGGAGTTCAGCTTACCTCCCAAAGCTACTGATTGAATTTATTGTCTAAAAATTCAAACTATTACTCTCTCCGGATGTCTGTTTCAGGCCTACTGCATCCAGACTTACGCAGCTGCTGAAGTTTTTTTACCTTCACTGCTATAGTGTATAGATCGATATTTTGGCGTAGGTCATCCTCTGAGGTATCCAATGCTGATGACAAACTTGACGAGTCAAAAGTTACTACTATGCCATATGGATTCTTGTTTCTATGGGAGTATGTGGGGTTGTACTGTTAACAGCAAGGCCTGACCTTTTGTGGGAGTCAAAATCAACAATGTCTACTGTGAGAACCATGTCCCTACTACACAAACTTTCTTGCGGTGATTATCACAGTTAGTAATGACTATGGAATAATGTGGACTTGCATTCATCCTGAGTAGTTCAATGTCTGTGATTCATTTATTGTTTACATAAGACGATTGTCCATCTGTCTAAACTTCCTGGGAAGCCCTCTCAAAAGCCGCCCAACCACACGTTGTGGCCCATCTGTCTTAAACTGTTCCTGGGGGAAGCCTCTCAGAAAGCCGCCCAAACGTTGGTGGGGGGGGGACTTCATGTAATTGCCTTTTCTATTTTTATGGTTGGATCTATGATTTATTACCTTTGAGGTACAGACTAAAGCAGCATTTCTCCCCAACTGTTGCCCATTGTTGTCATCCCTATGAGCGGTATTACTGCTAACACCTCTGATCAACGGCATACAGGACCGACGGCTTGGGCCCCGGCTATGACGGTATGAGTTGTCATCTCTATTAGCGTATGAGTACAATCTGATCTAAAGGCTAACCCCTTCTGATCACGAAGGAAGGATACCCCCCCCCCCCCCCCCCCCCCCCCCCCCCCCCCCCCCCCCCCCCCCCCCCCCCCCCCCCCCCCCCCCCCCCCCCCCCCCCCCCCCCCCCCCCCCCCCCCCCCCCCCCCCCCCCCCCCCCCCCCCCCCCCCCCCCCCCCCCCCCCCCCCCCCCCCCCCCCCCCCCCCCCCCCCCCCCCCCCCCCCCCCCCCCCCCCCCCCCCCCCCCCCCCCCCCCCCCCCCCCCCCCCCCCCCCCCCCCCCCCCCCCCCCCCCCCCCCCCCCCCCTCTGCAAAAGATTTTAGGAAATTCAAAATAACATTCATAATTGTTCAGATTTACCATCTTTGCAACTATGTTCGTTAATTATTAAAAACAGCATTTTTGTATTGTGAAAGGTAAGGTCTTTTTAAATTCAAAATAACACACTCCATTCAGTTTTTTTTTGGATTGGTTTTACCATCTTTGAATGTTCATTACTTATTCAGTTTCATGTAGTCATGCAGTATGTTGCAGGAACTAAGATTTCAATGGTGAAAAAGTTAAGGCCTCGATCATGCCTGTGTGGTGCATTAACCACATGCCGCCCAGCCACTGTATAAATACGGCGGCAGGGCGGCACGGCTGGGCAAAAGCACGTTTTAAAACGTGTGTTTTGTAAACAGGTAGGGGGTGCGCGCGAGGCGCGCCGCCGCCCTATCTGTCCCGCCGATCACAGCCGCGGATGTCAGTCGCCGGGTCACAGCCGGTCGTTACCGGCTATGTCCCGGCGATTAGCGGCAATCACTGACAGAGAGCACAGCTGCAGTAGCTGTGGTTTCTGTCAGTTCCCTGACAGCTCCAGGACACACGCTGATCGGGAAAGAAGAGTTTCTCTCTCTCCCGATCAGCGGTGTTCCCTGCAGTACACACCCCCCGCCCCCCCTAGTAAAACACTCCCCTCACACAGTTATCCCTTTCCCTGAATAATAAAGTTAACCCCTTCCTCCCCAGTGCCATTAGTACAGTGTCAGTGTTTTTTTTTTTGCACTGATCACTGTATTGGTGTAACTGGGGATGTCAGTGACCCCAAGTCAGTACCCCCCAATGTCAGAATGTCCGCCGCAGTCCCGCCATAAGTCGCTGATCGCCACCATAAGTTGCTGATCGCCGCCATAAGTCGCTGATTGCCGCCATTATTAGTATAAAAAACTAAAAATCCCAGTATCTTTCCCGCCATTTGTAAACGCTATAACTTTCACGTAAACCAATTAATTTACACGTATTGGGTTTTTTTTGTAGCAAAGACATGTCGCAGAATGCATTTTGGTAGAAATTTATGACTGAATTTGATTTTTAAATTTTTTTTTACTGGACATGTTTTATAGCAAAAAGTCCAAAATATTGTTTTTTTTCCTCAAAATTGTCAGCCTTTTTTTATAGCGCAAAAAATAAAAACCGCACAGGTAATCAAATAGCACCGAAAGAAAGCTCAATTTGTGGGGAAAAAAAGGATGTAAATTTAATTTATGTACCGTATTGCATGACCGCGCAATTGTCCATTAAACTAGCGCAGCTCTGTATAGCAAAAAAAATGGCGTAAATTGCAGTATCATACTTTGTAGACGCTATAACTGTCACACAAAACAATCAATATACACTTATTGGGATTTTTTTTACTAAAAACATGGAGCAGAATACATTTTGGCCTAAATTTATAACTAACTAACTTTGAGTTTACTATATATTTTTTAAAGCTGAAAGTAAAAAATATTGTTTTTCTTCAAAATTTTTTTTGTTTATTTTTAGTTGAATTAGTGCAGCGCCGAGTAGCAAAAAGAGGCTTGGTCATTAAGGGGGGTAAATCCTCGGGAGGGCAAGTGGTTAAGTCAGGCACTAATATTCATAGCGATAAATAAGCTATTCATTTTGAATGGGCTGCTAACACGCCCCAATGTGGCCCAAACTGAACCCTTCCATTTTTTTAAATACAATGTACATGCAGGGGCGGACTGATCATTTGGAAACTCGGGGCACTGTCCAAGGGCCTGGGGTCAGTAGGGGGCCCCATGAGATGCCCCTGGTACCTTTTTCATAGGCTTTTTTGAGTTTGGGCAAGAACACAGGAGCCCCATGATCCCCTATTGCCCGGGGGCCCCATGAGTTGTCAGTCCGCCCCTGTGTACATGTATTGTGGCATACTGCAACACAGATGTGTTGCTTTATTGCATTAGAGTACCATTGAAAATAAATGGTACTACAACACACTTATATAATACAAGCAATGTAATACATGTTGATCGTTTAATTTGAAAAAATAGGAAATTATTCATCAAAAGGTAATTTGTGCGTGATTGCTTCGGCAGCACATATACTAAAATTGGAACGGTACAGAGATTAGCATGGCCCCTGCGCAAGGATGACGCACAAATTCGTGAAGCGTTCCATATAAAAAAAAAAGCTAATTTGTGCAATTTAGTACTATATTAAATCACCAATTTTTTTTCCAAAATGACAAAGTTTGGGTGGTAAGCTTGCTGGTGAATTGTTGGTTATCACATAGTTACTACAGAAGCGCTGCCCTGCATAGAGGATAACTGTGCTTCTAAACAAGCTAGGGCTTACAGCCTCCCTCCAATTCTCACTATACTCCCTTGTACTAGAATCGGCACAACAGATAACCCATTAAAGAGCTGTGGCTTACAACCACCTGTCCTCATTTCAGTTCAGTATTGCCATTCATATCTTTTCTCTATAGGCATTAATGGAAAAGCTTAAAACTCATTCACTCCATTATTATATCACGCCTCGACTACTGTAACTCCCTCCTCATTGGCTTACCTCATTGCAGGCTATCCCCACTCCAGTCCATCATGAATGCTGCTGCCAGACTCATCCACCTTACTAACTGTTCCGTATCTGCCACCCCTCTCTGCCAATCCCTCCACTGGCCTCCACTCAGTGTCCTCCATCCCTCTCTGCCAATCCCTCCACTGTCCCCCACTCAGTGTCCTCCACCCCTCTCTGCCAATCCCTCCACTGCCCTCCATTCAGTGACCACCACCCCTCTCTGCCCATCCCTCCACTGGCCTCCACTCAGTGTCCTCCATCCCTCTCTGCCAATCCCTCCACTGGCCTCCACTCAGTGTCCTCCACCCCTCTCTGCCAATCCCTCCACTGCCCTCCACTCAGTGTCCTCCATCCCTCTCTGCCAATCCCTCCACTGGCCTCCACTCAGTGTCCTCCATCCCTCTCTGCCAATCCCTCCACTGGCCTACACTCAGTGTCCTCCATCCCTCTCTGCCAATCCCTCCACTGGCCTCCACTCAGTGTCCTCCACCCCTCTCTGCCAATCCCTCCACTGGCCTCCATTCAGTGACCACCACCCCTCTCTGCCCATCCCTCCACTGCTTCCAATTGCCCAACGGATAAAATTCAAAACGCTAACACTGACGTATAAAGCCGTTCACAACACTGCTCCAAAGTACATCACCGATCTTGTCTCCAAATATCACCCAAACTGTACTCTCCTCCGCTCCTCACAAGACCTCCTACTCTCTAGCTCCCTTGTTTCCTCCTCCCATGCTCATCTCCAGGACTTCTCCAGGGCTTCCCCCATCCTCTGGAACTCCCTACCCCAATCAGACTATCGCCTACTCTGCTCACTTTTAGGCGCACTCTGAAAACCTATATCTTCATGGAAGCCTACCCTGCTCCCAGCTAATATTGAAATCCTCCACTCCATCCCCCACAGTTATTACCTCTTGTATCACTCTCCCCCTCCCTCCTAGATTGTAAGCTCCAAGGAGCAGGGCCCTCGAACCCCTCTTGTATTGAACTGTATTGTTACTGTACTGTCTCGTGTACTGTCTCGCACCATAATGTAAAGTGCTGAGCAAACTGTCGGCGCTATATAAATCCTGTATAATAATAATAATAATAATAAAAAGCTTGAAAGAAAAAATGTAAGAAAGAAGTGAAGCGCATAATCTGGCGCACTTAAATACAATGAAATAAAACACAAAGGATTGCGCTTACATGTGTCACAATAAGAAGAATATTTTGCACACAGCCTCAGATCCACAGAAAGCCGAAACCTAACACTGGGGCCACCAGTGCACCTTAACCTCTTGCCGTCCGGCCGCTGTTTATAAACGGCAGGGCGGTGGCAGTTCAGGGGCGGGTTGTCGTTCATAAACGGCACCCGCCTTTTCTAGCTGTGCACGCTCTCTGGGAGCGCGCAGCACCCCGCGATCCGGTGCCCGCTGTGTCCTCCGGACACAGTGAAACACCGATCGTCGGACGGGACCTCTGTACGAGGTCCCGATCATGTGATCACTGATTGGCGAATCAGTGATCACATGCAAAGTAGTAAGCAAGATGTCACTTGTGACATCATTGCTTACTACGTGTGAAATCTGTGAATGATCACAGAGGTCACATGGTACAAGGCTATTCACAACAGCCTTGTACCATGTGACATGCTGTGACTAATCACAGCTCACTCAGTACTTCTCAATGACCGCAAGAATGCAGACAGAGAGAAAGAGAAATGATTGCTTTTACATCCTATATGGGTGTAAAAGCAATCAGTGTAAAAAAAAAAAAAATCATCATCACCCCCCACAAGTAGTACAGTGCCACCATGGTGACACTGCACTGCTAGGGTGACAGTATGTAAAAAAAAAAACAAAAATAAAAAATAATAATATAAAAAAACTAAAATAAAAATGTAAAAAAAAATGTTTAAAAATCATAATTTTTGGTTATAAACTAATTTGGATTTTTTTTTTTACTAAAAAAATAACGGAATCAAGATTTATGATGAAATATTATTTATTTGCAACATTTTATAAAAAAAACACTTTTTTTTCAAAATTTTTGGACTTTTTCATTTACATAGTAAAAAAATAAAAATCCCAGCGGTGAATAAATACCACCAAAATAAAGCTTTATCTGTCTCAAAAAAATGGTAAAAAATTCATATGGGTACAGTATTGCATGACCGTGAAATTGTCATTCAAAATGAGATAGCGCTGAAAGCTGAAAATTGCCCTGGACAGGAAGGGGGTGAAAGTGTCCGGACTGGAAGTGGTTAAATGACAGCTCACTGTTATGTCCTCTCCAGAGGCTGTGGAAAAGGTGACTAACTCCCACATTTGGAAAGAGAAAGTCTATGCCAGAGCACACGTCCGACAGCCAGCGCAGAAGGCCTGAAATGTGCACAAGATTTACTTCCTGTGATAGGTAGCAGTTTATTGCCAAGGGGACATGTTTAGGGGCTGGACCCCTTTCTCTTGTTCAGTGTAGTTACTGAGTTCTACAAGTTACAAATAACAATAGCACAAAGCAGGGGCGGACTGGCCATTTGGAAACTCGGGGCACTGCCTGAGGGCCCAGGGTCAGTAGGGGACCCCATGAGATGCTCCTGGTACCTTTTTCATAGGCTTTTTTGAGTTTGAGCAAGGACACAGGGGCCCCATGATCCCCTATTGCCCGGGGGCCCCATGAGTTGTCAGTCCGCCCCTGGCACAAAGGCACTTGAGTGGAAGGATGTGCAGAAAATATTACAAAAGTAAATTTACGTTCGCATACAAGTAAATAATAAAGTGGGATTATGAGTTGTAGTAAATCTGGTCTCCAAAGGTTGCATGCTCAAGTATACAATGGCAAACAAGGTGGAGAAGTCAAACTGTTCCCATTATGATAGAAGCAATACAATCAAGCCTGGGAATAGTCGGTAAAATAACTTGCTCATCCAAGTGCTAACAGAGGATATGAACGGATAGCCAGGAAACCAAGGCTGCCTTCTGCGTTGTGAAGGGAAGGAGAGAAAAGAGAGGGAGGAGACAGGAGAGGAAAGAGATGGGTTCCTGGGGTCTACATGGAGGCAGATCAGGGAAAGCCTCATAGCGTCAGAGGCACATAGGTTATTAATAGAGATGAGCGAATCGAACCAGGCGAACCGGAATTCGATACGAATTTCAGGAAATATTCGATTCGCGTCGAATCCGAAATTTTGCCTACTTCGGGTGCGCGAATCGAATATTTCCCGATCAGCCGGCAAAAGTGTCCCTGCAGTGAGCTCCGCTATTTCTGACAGTTCTCTGACAGAAGGAACACATGTAAAGCGGTTGAAACATTGTATCTATTAGTTTCCATTTAGGATACAGATGTTTCAACCGCTGTACATGTGAAGAAGCTGTCAGAGAACTGTCAGAAATAGAGGAACTCTGCACATACACTTTTTGCCGGTTTGGAATTCTTATTTTCATCCTACTTCTTCTTCTTCTTCTACTTCTTCATCCTCATCCTCATCCTCAGAAGAAGAAGAAGAGGACGAGGATGAGGATGAAGAAGAAGAAGAAGTAGGATGAAAATAAGAATAATTCCAAGCCGGCAAAAAGTGTATGTGCAGAGCTCCTCTATTCTGCAGATACACTTAGAGGAGCTCTGCAGATACACTTAGAGGAGCTCTGCACATACACTTTTTGCCGGCTTGGAATTAATCTTATTTTCATCCTACTTCTTCTTCTTCTTCTTCTTCCTCATCCTCATCCTCAGAAGAAGAAGAAGAGGACGAGGATGAGGATGAAGAAGAAGAAGAAGAAGAAGTAGATGAAAATAAGAATAATTCCAAGAAAAAGTGTATGGATCCTCTAAAAGAGCTAAGAGAATAGAGGAACTTCCATACACTTTTTGCCGGCAAAAAGTGTATGAAAATAAGATTAATTCCAAGCCGGCAAAAAAGTGTATGTGCAGAGCTCCTCTAAGTGTATCTGCAGAGCTCCTCTAAGTGTATATGGAAACAAATAGATACAATGTTTCAACCGCTGTATGGAGAAGGATGAGAAGAAGGAGAAGGATGAGAAGAAGGAGAAGGATGAGAAGAAGGATGAGAAGCAGGATGAGAAGAAGGAGAAGGATGAGAAGAAGGAGAAGGATGAGAAGAAGGAGAAGGATGAGAAGAAGGAGAAGGATGAGAAGAAGGATGAGAAGAAGGAGAAGGATGAGAAGAAGGACAGTTCTGTGACAGGTTCTGTCTATTTCTGACAGTTCTATGACATTCCCTCCATACAGCGGTTGAAACCGCTGTATGGAGTGAATGTCCCAGAACTGTCAGAAAATAGACAGAAACTGTCACAGAACTGTCCTTCTTCTCATCCTTCTCCTTCTTCTCATCCTTCTTCTCATCCTTCTCCTTCTTCTCATCCTTCTCCTTCTTCTCATCCTTCTCCTTCTTCTCATCCTTCTCCTTCTTCTCATCCTGCTTCTCATCCTTCTTCTCATCCTTCTCCTTCTTCTCATCCTTCTCCTTCTTCTCATCCTTCTCCTTCTTCTCATCCTTCTCCTTCTTCTCATCCTTCTCCTTCTCCTTCTCCTTCTTCTTCTCATCCTTCTCCTTCTCCTTCTTCTCATCCTTCTTCTCATCCTTCTCTTTCTCCATCTTCTCATCCTTCTCCTTCTTCTCATCCTTCTCCTTCTGCTTCTCCTTCTTCTCATCCTTCTCCTTCTTCTCATCCTTCTCCTTCTTCTCATCCTTCTCCTTCTCCTTCTTCTCATCCTTCTCCTTCTTCTCATCCTTCTCCTTCTGCTTCTCCTTCTCCTTCTTCTCATCCTTCTCCTTCTTCTCATCCTTCTCCTTCTCCTTCTTCTCATCCTTCTTCTCATCCTTCTCCTTCTTCTCATCCTTCTCTCTTATCCTTCTTCATCCTTCTCCTTCTTCTCATCCTTCTCCTTCTTCTCATCTTCTCATCCTTCTCCTTCTTCTCATCCTTCTCCTTCTTCTCATCCTTCTCCTTCTCCTTCTTCTCATCCTTCTCCTTCTTCTCATCCTTCCTCCTTTCCTTCTTCTCATCCTTCTCCTTCTTCTCATCCTTCTCCTTCTCCATCTTCTCATCCTTCTCCTTCTCCTCTTCTCATCCTTCTCCTTCTCCTTCTTCTCTTCCTTCTCATCCTTCTCCTTTCTCCTTCTTCTCATCCTCCTTCTCCTTCTTCTCATCCTTCTCCTTCTCCTCCTTCTCCTTCCTTCTCTTCTTCTCATCCTTCTCCTTCTCCTTCTCATCCTTCTTCTCATCCTTCTCCTTCTTCTCATCCTT